AGTTAACAGCTGACTATTAGTATTTACTGTATTTTGACCTTATATATTTTTAGTTAACAGCTAACTATTAGTATTTACTGTATTTTGACCTTATATATTTTTAGTTAACAGCTGACTATTAGTATTTACTGTATTTTGACCTTATATATTTTTAGTTAACAGCTATTAGTATTTACTGTATTTTGACCTTATATATTTTTAGTTAACAGCTGACTATTAGTATTTACTGTATTTTGACCTTATTTATTTTTTGTTAACAACTGACTATTAGTATTTACTGTATTTTGACCTTATATATTTTTAGTTAACATCTGACTATTAGTATTTACTGTATTTTGACCTTATATATTTTTAGTTAACAGCTGACTATTAGTATTTACTGTATTTTGACCTTATATATTTTTAGTTAACAGCTGACTATTAGTATTTACTGTATTTTGACCTTATATATTTTTAGTTAACAGCTAACTATTAGTATTTACTGTATTTTGACCTTATATATTTTTAGTTAACAGCTGACTATTAGTATTTACTGTATTTTGACCTTATTTATATTTAGTTAACAGCTGACTATTAGTATTTACTGTATTTTGACCTTATATATTTTTAGTTAACAGCTGACTATTAGTATTTACTGTATTTTGACCTTATTTATTTTTAGTTAACAACTGACTATTAGTATTTACTGTATTTTGACCTTATATATTTTTAGTTAACATCTGACTATTAGTATTTACTGTATTTTGACCTTATATATTTTTAGTTAACAGCTATTAGTATTTACTGTATTTTGACCATATATATTTTTAGTTAACAGCTATTAGTATTTACTGTATTTTGACCTTATTTATTTTTAGTTAACAGCTGACTATTAGTATTTACTGTATTTTGACCTTATTTATTTTTAGTTAACAACTGACTATTAGTATTTACTGTATTTTGACCTTATATATTTTTAGTTAACATCTGACTATTAGTATTTACTGTATTTTGACCTTATATATTTTTAGTTAGCAGCTGACTATTAGTATTTACTGTATTTTGACCTTATATATTTTTAGTTAACAGCTAACTATTAGTATTTACTGTATTTTGACCTTATATATTTTTAGTTAACAGCTGACTATTAGTATTTACTGTATTTTGACCTTATTTATATTTAGTTAACAGCTGACTATTAGTATTTACTGTATTTTGACCTTATATATTTTTAGTTAACAGCTGACTATTAGTATTTACTGTATTTTGACCTTATTTATTTTTAGTTAACAACTGACTATTAGTATTTACTGTATTTTGACCTTATATATTTTTAGTTAACATCTGACTATTAGTATTTACTGTATTTTGACCTTATATATTTTTAGTTAACAGCTATTAGTATTTACTGTATTTTGACCATATATATTTTTAGTTAACAGCTATTAGTATTTACTGTATTTTGACCTTATTTATTTTTAGTTAACAGCTGACTATTAGTATTTACTGTATTTTGACCTTATTTATTTTTAGTTAACAACTGACTATTAGTATTTACTGTATTTTGACCTTATATATTTTTAGTTAACATCTGACTATTAGTATTTACTGTATTTTGACCTTATATATTTTTAGTTAGCAGCTGACTATTAGTATTTACTGTATTTTGACCTTATATATTTTTAGTTAACAGCTAACTATTAGTATTTACTGTATTTTGACCTTATATATTTTTAGTTAACAGCTGACTATTAGTATTTACTGTATTTTGACCTTATTTATTTTTAGTTAACAACTGACTATTAGTATTTACTGTATTTTGACCTTATATATTTTTAGTTAACAGCTGACTATTAGTATTTACTGTATTTGTTAAAATACAAAAGAATTAATCATTTTGGACAGAATTTTAATTATCGTCTCTGTCTTACAAGTGATTCACCAAAGCATTGATGCAAATAAGTCAATCAAAAATAGAAGCAAAGCTAAACTTCATAAACACTATCAATAGATAGCAATAAATGTCACCCAGAATTTCTCATTAGCCCTCTTGCTTCAAATTGACTAATTTGAGGTGTCCTGAAAAATCCCTTTCAGTTGAGTTGGCTCTCTGGTGCTGGTTTACCATTTGTGAAAACAGACATCCTGATATGATTATAAAGTGCTTTGGGTGGACAGCAGTTAATAGATAAGCACTAAATGCTCCTACATTCATTCCATATGCAGCAGGGGGTCTCTGGTCTATCTTCTGACCTGAAAGAATGTTTGAATCAGAAGAAAGTAAGCCTAAACCTTGTTATGAGGCACCCTAGGGAGGCTTACCATTAAAAACAAAAGATCTGTTTGAACTGTTTCCAGCTCCAGGTGTAAAGCTGCCACTGGAGTGTGTCTCAGCACCGAGCGGCATATTCTTTTGTGTTGGTAAAATAGATCTGAGACCTTGAAGCTTAACTTGGTCAGACAACCAGCAGTCTGAGAGATGAGCTGAAAGTCTAGTTACTCATTTGCAGCGGGCAGCTTGTTTGTCTTCCTGTCATCCTCATTGTGAATCACTGGTCTTATTATCAAAACCTTGCTAGTGTAGTCTTTGATGTATCGGGACAGCAAAACATCTATCTGAAAGAGATTGAGTGCAAATAGAGGAGAAAAAAGAAAGAAAAACTCAAATGATGTACTGAGACGGTCTCCATAGAAACGCTTCCCTTTTTTTATTGGTTTGTCTTTTGTCTCTATACCTCATTTTCATCTTTGGGTGTTGCGGTGAGGATATTAACATGCCCAGACGTTTCAAAGGTTACTGACTGCCATCTCGTTGTTCTTTTCATCAGTTCATCTCCCTGCTGTTCATATCCACCAGTGGCCCTTTGAATTAGCATGTGAACTGGTGGAATCTTCAGCTCTTTGTAATAAAGTTAAAGCTAAATTTAACAATGTCAGTGAGATTACAATGGTGTTTTATCTGTGCAGATTTCACCAGTAGAGTCTTTGGATTGGATTACTAACGTAACTTCAATTGATTTAAATTCATGTTTATTTCTATAGCTCTTTTACAATGTAGAGTATGTCAAAGCAGCTTAACATAGAGGTTCTAGTAAATTGAAACTGTCAGTCCAATTTTCAGAGGTGAATTTTAGTTCAGTTCAATATGGTTTAAATTCCACTGCTGAAAGTCCAAACACCAAGCAAGCCATAGCAACAGTGGTGAGGAACAAATTTCACCAATTGACGAAAGTGAAATAAAAAACCTTGAGAAAAACCAGGCTCAGTTGTGGATGACCATTTCACCTCTGGCCAAACTTCCTGTGCAGAGCTGCTGTCTATGTGCCGGTGGTTTGTATTTGCTTTGAGTGATTTTAGCATAATACCACACAGAAGGGTTGGTTCATACTTGGTTTGGTGTGTTCCACACATTGGCTCTAATTGGGTTAATGTTAAAGCTTGTTGGCCTGATTAAGAATGTCGACTCAGCGTCAAACTGTTGGCTGAAGAGAGCACTCTCACTGGTTATTCAGCTATGAATCAGAGCGCAAGTGTGACTGTGATATAACGGTGAGAATGGTACTAAATGCTTTAAACTTTGTTTATATTAGAGATTGAAGAGTAAACAGACTACTGAAAGACATGTTCTCTTGTCTATATGCTGAACATACTCTCTTGTTTCAGTTGGCTTTTATCCATTTTTGTGTATTTACGCACACCTAAGGGCTGGGACACATCAAGCCGATGCCAAAAATCACCATTGAAACCCAACTGTGTTATTGCTTGCATCTGGACCAAAACGTTGCATGTGAACACACCACACAGATAAAAGCCAACTGAAATGAGAGCCACATTTTGCGTCTGCATAAGATGACGTGTCTTTACACTCAACAGTGGGCAGTAGTCTGTTTTCTTGTATACTGAAGTTCTGATGCATACAAAGTGTAAACAAAGTAGCATTTACAACCCCTAGCAAAAAAAGTATAAAATCACCACTCTTGGAAAATGTTTATTCAAATGTTTAAAACACATACAAACACATACATGCCACAAAACCAATTTCATCCAACAACCCAAGCCTCTGATTGGATGAAACACTTAAAAAAAAAAAAGAAAAGAAAGAACACTGTTGTCAATTGAAACTGTTTTTACAGATCAAACAGAGGAAAAAAAATATGGAATCACACAAATCTCAGAACAATTATATGGAATCATCAAATAAAACTGGTGGTTCCATACTTTTTTTGCCAGGGGTTGTAGTAACGTTATTACAGTAATTTCGCAGACATACTCATGCTCATGCCATTTGTGCAAATTAAATGCCAACATATTTGGGTGAAATCATGTTTGATCACCATTCAGGATGACAGATGTATTTATTTAAAAATTAAACCCAAATACATTCTGAAATATTGAGTGGTTGTCTAAAGTTTTAGTTTATTAGAAATTATTCCAAATTTGCTGACAAATTGGTGGAATATAGTAGTTGGATTTTGGGGCTGTACTGCAGGCAGTTTTTAAATGAAGTTTTTTTATGTCATGAATTATGTTTATATATATATATATATATATATAAACTTTAGTTACTTTTTTTGCTATATGAATGAAAAAGAGACCTATATTAGATTTTGATTATTTTGCTTGAAAAAGATTTTGGTCTTTGATCCATGTTTGCTTTTATTCATTGACTAAAATAGTAAACACACTTTAAAGTATAGAATATTAAGAAATAAGTCATCTGCATGAAAAAGAATATAGAAATGTAAAAATACTCTTAAACTGCATTAAATCTAGAAATAAATGCAACATTGTCTCCACCGTTCTTGTTCCACTATGTGAATTCTTTAAGTTCTGACCAATTGCATGATTTGCAAGTATCTGTATCACAAACACTACTATTTGGAGGTTGACTAAATTTCAGTCATTTTGGTTTTCTCACACTGCATTCATTTACCAAAACAAGTATTATATTTTGACTAATTCCTTCATTTGTCTGTAAATAATCAATTCACTGGGAATTTTTGAATGAACAACACAAAATATTGGGACTTTCTTCATCCTTTAATTAGATAGATTAAACATCAATATAAAAAACTGCTAATCCAGACATTTTTTATTGATGCAACATTGCACATACATTTCTACAGAACTACAATGATAATTATGAAATATGCCAAAAGAGACTCGCAGGTTGATACTTTTGAACACTTTTTAGTTGTTGTTTTTTTTGCTTCAGGACAAGTAATATATTGGATTTTTGTTTCAACAATAAACAATTACATTGCAAAATATTCACGGAATCATATTATTGCATATAAAATAAAAATAACATATTTGTATATAAATACAATAAGATTGCATATTTCTGCACACTTTATCACAAGCACAAAAGCATATAAAAGCAATTAGCAAAAGGTTTTAATGTATTAGATATTTTTAAGCTGCGTCTTTTTAATTTTAAATTTGATTTTGTGACAGCAAATATATTTGAATGAAAATATACTGTCATATTTATTCATATACTTTATGTATTCAAGTCATCTTAAAAATGCATTTATTTAAGATGTACTTCACCATTAAGGCTTAGTCTTTGCTTTTTAAAAAAAAAAAAAAAAAAGATGGGTGTCAGAAGTTCAGTGTTTCTGTTTTCTTCGTGATGAAATCGGCATCCAAAGCAAGATTTCTTGATATCCAAATCATAGACAGAATGTTGAAATCTTGTGGCTCTGTCCAACCACTTTTTCACCACCAGGCATGGCTTGTACACCCAAGAATGACCATCTGTGTCCGACAAGAACAAGATGCATGTGGAGGAACCTTACAGATGGTATAGATCTAGCCAAGACAAATGTGTACTGTTTCTCTTCAAGCATTAGTGGTCTTTGAACTAACTAAGCCCTCTTTTTTCTGTCAAAGAACCACGCTAGCGGTGGCACAGTTGTTTGCCGGTATCCCAATGCCAATCCGCCGATGACAGGTGAACATCTTCCGTAATTCTGCCCTGAACCGATCATGCAGCCATGCATACAAAAATGGGTTGCAACAAGATGAACTCATTCCACACAAGTGACACAACAGCTGTATCAACAGAAAGTAGCGCTTATCAATCAGATCTATGTCAATATCCCGAAGAACATTAAAGACGCTTATTGGCAGCCAGCAGATCCCAAAGGCAGCGACGACCAGAGACACCAAGCGAAATGTCTTCCGTTTACGAGCTCGCTGGGCCTCAGCTTGGCTTTGGGTCCGATGGCCTGGTACCACGCAATTACGAAGCTTCACCGAAATGCACAAATAAGAGATGCAGAGAGCGGACAGTGGAAGGACATATGTGATGAACAGCGTGCTGTAAGCGTAGGCCAGCCGCTCTTTCTCCTGGCCCATCCAGAACTCCTCGCAGATGGTGAAACCTTCGTCCTTGAACTCCACGTGGTATGTGTGAGCCACAGCAGGAGCTACCAGACCACAGGACAAAATCCAGATCCCTGAGAGAAGGTATGTGCAGGCCAGAACTGAAATGCGCTTCTTTAGAGGATGAACTGTGGCGTAGTATCTAAAAGTTAAAAAGACAGTTTTAGGGGACAAGATACACCTCTTTTTCATACTAAAAATAAATAAATAAATAAATAATTGAATAAATAAAGTTGCATCATTTCCCTCATGCCACCCTACATAACTTTTAAACTAAAACCATCTCTTTCACCAAAATGGAACACAATGCAATAAAAATGTGTTCAGCCACACAGCCATGGAGTAGAGCAGAATCTACCCTGTGCCACGCAGTTTTTTTACGAGCCAGTCTGATGTGCGAGCGGTTTAGCTTTCTTCCTTGCGCTCGCCACGCGTCTATATCTGAAATAACAACCTTTTTGAGCTGATGATAATAACGTGCGCTTGATTATTGACGTGCTTTTGAAACACGATCCTTTCAGAAACTGACAAACACGAGAGTGACACGTTCAGAAAGAAAAGGACAAACGCAAGAGTGAAGCACGGGAAAAAAGAGCACGTTATTTCTTCAGCAAACGTGAACAAACTGCCTTGTTTTATTTATTATTATCACCTTTTTGACTAATTTCAACTCAGAATGATGGAATGACTCTCTAACAGAGGCTACATGTGCTGCTGAAGATTACAGACACAGATAAGAGGTTTTCACTGACTGTAGGCTATAATTAGTGTTGTTTTTTAACCTAATTAAGGATGAAATGTCTGCTGTGTGTAGTTCGTCAGTAGTTGGTAACATATCGGTGACTATAAGGGGCTGTATGCATTTATATGTTTATTTATTTATCTATTTATTTATTTATTTTATATAATTACAGACATTGCAGTAGGATATTTCGCACTGTCATTGATCTGCAGTTATAATCAAATCCTGTTCATAGAAAAGTTAGTATTAAACATTTATACAGAAGTATTTATGTGTGCAAAGTGTCTGTTTTGTAAGAAGTGCTTTACATATGATATGTGAGCGACCCGTACAGCTTTACTGTAGACATTTCCTTTAGCGAGAATGATGCGACTGAAACTTTGTCATACACCACGCCCACCGAAAGGGTAACCTTGGTAGTGCAAATGCAAGCCTGATAAATATACTGTATCTGTGGTTGTTGTGCGTATGGCTGAGCATTAGACACACACAGTCATTCTTCCATGGTGTATATGCAGTCAAATCTCCAGCTCTTTGTTTCTTGTTGTACATATTGAAAGGGTAGTTTAAATTGATATGATAATACTTAATAATAGGCATAATAATTATTTATCTGTCCCATCCACTTTTATTGTCCCAGTAGCGTAAGGACAGCAGAAAGCAGTTTGGGTAACATAAGTGACTTTACTGCCAATTGTTGTGTTTTTTTTTTTTTTTGTTGTAAAACTACAACAAATAGGGGGAAAGTATATACATATTCACATTTACTGTAACAAGTTCAATTCAACTAGCAGTACAATTTTACTTATCTACATAGTTTTTATGCAAATATTAATAACCATATGAGGAAAATCTGTTTGAGACCATTTAAATCAAATATTTTCAAAATTGATCATATTTGTTACACCATCAGCAAGCCATGAAGAAGTGTTTGTACAACACAATACAGGTGGACTAAAACTAATAATAATCAAATGACTCTTGAATGGTATAAAAATAGACCTTTAGCAAAACTAGAGCACTTACAGACATGTATTTCAACATTGGTCACACTTTACAATAAGGTTCATTAGTTAATGTTAATTAATGCATTTACTAACATGAACAAACAATGAACAATACATTTACTACTGTATCTGTTCATGTTAGTTAATGAAAAAACAGTAGTTCATTGTTAGTTCATGTTAACTCATGGAACATTAACTAATGTTAACAAGCATGGACTGGGATGTTAATAAGCCATTAGTAAATATTCAATTATGATTAATAAATGCTGTACGTGTGTTGTTCATGATTAGTTCATGTTAGTAAATGCATTAACTAATGAACCTTATTGTAAAGTGTTACCTCAACATTTAAGTCAGCCACAGTATTAAAACGCATGTGCATTACTTTCGACCGTACACTGAGAGAAAATAAAAGTAAAACCAATCTGTTTGCAGTACTTATCGACTTGGTGGTGGGTCAAAATCACAAGTTGCTAGACGCGACTGCAAAACAATGATAGAAGTTCAAAAATATATGATTTGGGGGCCAAATCTCGTTATATAGTTCGTGCCTCGGCTGGGTCAGTTGGCATTTTTGTGTGGAGTTTGCATGTGCTCCGGTGTCCCCCACAACTCTAAAAAACATGTGGTCCAGGTGAATTGACTGAGCTAAATTGTATGTAGTGTATGAGTGGGAATGAGTGTGTATGGATGTTTGCCAATGATGGGTTGCAGCTGGAAGGGCATCCACTATGTAAAACATATGCTGGATAAGTTGGCAGTTCATTCTGCTGTGGCAACCCCAGATTAAAAAAATTCAAAAAGAAAATGAACGAATGAATAAATAATTTAGCACATGCTAAATTAAACTGCACATGCCCCTATTTGCTATTTAAATGATGGACTTTTTAAGCAGAAGAGCTGAATAGGAAGATCCAACCCAAGCTCATTCTGGAAACGTAGCCCCACGGACGTTTCTGGAGACCGTGATTTACGTGGCCGGAGGTACGTATGGCCGCATTTAGTTTTTTCGAGCGAACGGCTGACGGCTCGCCTCCGAGTGGAGGGCTTTCAAGCTGCTACCAGTTTGTCCGCTTAGTTCACAGCGTTACTTCGGCGGAGCAAAGCCCTGGAGTAGGAGGAGGAGCTGGCTGCGGGGACGACCTGGATCGAGTCCGGGGAAGAGTGGTTCCAGAAATCAGGTAAGATGAAAAACAGAATCCAAAAAATAAGAGCGAGAACGTGGCGAGATCTGAAAACGCAGTCGAAATCAAAGACGAGGGTTTTTGCTTTTTTTTTTTTCTGGACGGCTTTTGCAAACCGTCGCTTGGGTTTAGGGAAGGAGGAGGAGGAGGAAGAATTAGCCGCCCGCCCGGTCGATCGTTTAGTCATTCAGCCAGCCAGATGGACGGTCGCTCCACAGCAGTGCTACGCGGGGCTACGTTTCCACAAAGAGCCCGGGTTGGGAAGATCCCTTCCTATTTCCTTCAATAGGAAGGAAACAGATCTGCTTATGTGAAAGGTTAGAGCATGCAGACCATCTACAGAACAAGTAGGATTCCACCGTAGCGGTTTTATTTCTACACTACCTGACAAAAGTCATCGATCCCAGTTGTTAGAGCAACAAATATAATTAGACTTTTAGTTGATCAAGTGGCAAAAGGTAGATTTTTTTTAATAAATGGTCTGTTGAACTGCATCCCAACCATCACAAATACTGAAATAGGCTTATAGGAACCCACATGGACCCAATATTCTCATAGAAATCAGTCAAGTTTGGTGAAGAAAAAATTATGGTTTGGGCTTACATTCAGTATGAGGGCATGCAAGAGATCTGCAGAGTGGATGGCAACATCAACAGCCTGAGATAGTTAGACATTTGTGCTGCCCATTACATTGGATTTATCTTTAATGCCTCCTACTTCATCTTACAAAATTGTTCATGTTCTGACCAATCTTGGAGCACCTTGACCTTCTTTGCTTTCAGGAACTTTAATGTGGAGGCTGAAGTATGAGAAGGAGCACTATCCTGGTGAAGAATGTTCCCTGTTCTGTGGTTTGTAATGTAATGGGCAACCCAAATGTCTTGATACCTCATGCTGTTGATGTTACCATGTGACCATACTGAATGTAACCCCAAACTATGATTTCCCTTTCCCAAACTTGACTGATTTCTGTGAGACTCTTGAGTCCATGTGGGTTCCAATAGGTCGTCTGCAGTATTTGTGATGACTGGGATGCAGTTCAACAGATGATTCATCAGAAAAATCTACCTTCTACCACCTTTCCAAATGATCAACTAGAAGTTATTATTTGTTGATCTTAAAACTGGCATAGACGACAAGACTTTTGTAAGGTGGTGTATATTTATTATTTTAGCAGTTATATCAGTGCCTTATTTAGTATACAAGGCTGGACCCAAGATATGCGATTGAGCTGTTTTTTTTTGTGAGAAGAGTTTTAATTGTTGTTTTATTTTAGTCTAAGAGAATCAAAAATAAACAAAGCAATCTATCTTTTTTTCTGTGGTGAATTGTGATTAATATGTGCTCCTGGGTGTCTCATAACATGACGAGAGCTACAAATAATCCAATGCACTGATGATTCTAATTCTCTATACCTGCATGTTTTTCATGTCTATGTGTAAATGGATGAAGCTGTTGCTGTTTTTTTTTTTTTTACAGCTAGCTTGGTTTTAACTGTGATTGCTGTCTCAGAGTATGAGGAAATGAAAATGAACATTACAATTCCACCATTATTGTATCAAATATAAGCTTAATTTTACATAATAAACTTTCAAAATAAGTTTGATTTTTGAGTACTTGACAAAACTATAAAATAGTTATAATCCAATAATAGGCAACAACAAATTGAAAACAGATTTAAAGGAAAAATCACATGGATTCTTAATATTGTTATATTAATTTGAAATGTACCACTAAACATGGTCTTGTCATGTCATTTTGACATAACTCGATGTTCTCTATCTAAAGTGGAACATCAGCTGACTTGTTGATGAATAAATAATTGGTTTTGAGCTGAGTTTAACAAAGGATCATAGGAGTAATTGTCTGTTGGAAAATGTGTATTATAAACATAAGTACGATAAAGAGGCTGGGTCAGATCACAGCAGACAAGAGCAAGAGCAGGTGAAAGTTCAATGTAAATAAATATGGGTGAGGTTGGAGGTCACGGAACCCAGGCCTCATTTAGGTTATCCACCCTTTTCAGAGTTTAAATGATCTTAAGCAGGGATACATTGTAAGTGGATGAAATACATTGGGCAGATACGGCAAAAAGGTATGAATAATTTGCTTCATGACTTTGAAAGGACTCATATACTAATGTAAGGTTGATATTATGAGATATGAAAAACTCTTATTTTACCAAAATATTGAAAAACTGAGATATGAA